AAAACTTGTTTATCACTTTAAATAAAAAAATTTTTTACCTTTACAACGTTATCACCAAGAATTTCTTTAATTTGCTTGCACAAATAATCATAATTTTTAATGTCTTCTTCACGCAATTTCTTCTCTTCCTCATCTTCATCAATCTCAGGCCCTTCTTTTGTGATGCATACAAGTTTCTTACCTTCATATTCTTTAAGTTGCGAAACAGAGTATTCATCGATAGGGTCGGTCATAAATAAGACCTCATACCCTCGTTTTTTTAATACCTCAAAAAATGGCGAATTCTCAACAGCTTGACGATTTTCTCCTGTAATGTACTAAATATCTTTTTGTTTTTCCGGCATACGTGTAATGTAATCTTTTAGAGAGGTAAGTTCATCGGTGGATTTTGTGGAATAATAACGAAGAAATTCGGCTAATTTGTACCGATTCTGAGAATCTTCATAAATTCCAAGCTTAATATTTTTGGTAAATGCATCATAGAATTTTGCGAAATCTTCTTTGTCCTCAGCAATCTCAGAAAACAGCTCTATACATTTTTTTACTATATTTTTACGAATAACTTGAAAAATCTTGTTATGTTGAAGCATTTCTCGGGAAATGTTAAGCGGTAGATCTTCTGAATCAACTATTCCTTTGATGAAGTCAAGATATTTAGGAATTAAATCTTCACAATCGTCCATAATAAGGACGCTGCGAACGTAAAGTTTAATGTTATTGCGTTTTTTCTTATTTTCAAAGAGATCGAATGGAGCACGACGTGGTACGAATAGAATTGCTCTGAATTCTAATTGACCTTCGACGGAGAATTGTTTAACGGCCAAATGTTCCTCCCAATCATTAGCTAGAGACTTGTAGAATGCAGCATATTCTTCATGATTAATATCATCAGAATTTCTTTTCCAGATAGGTTTAGTGTTGTTTAACTCTTCGGTTTCTAACGTCTTTATCTTCACTTTATCATTTTCCTCATCTTTTTCAGCTTCCTTTCCAACAATAAGTTGGATTGGATGGCAAATAAATTCGGAGTGTTTCTTTACAAGCTCTTTAATCTTATGTTCTTCAAGGTATTCTAATTGATCTTCTTTGAGGAACAATTTAATGAGTGTGCCTCGGCCAATGGGTTCATTATCTGTATCACGGGCGATGGTGAATGATTTACTTGCTGACGATTCCCAAATATACTGTACGTCATCATTGTGCTTTGTTATCACTTGAACACGGTCTGCAACCAAGTAGGCAGAATAAAAACCAACACCAAACAGACCAATCATAGAAATGTCGGCACCAGAATGCAAAGCTTCAATGAAATCCTTAGTACCTGAACGAGCAATAGTACCAAGATTATTCACAAGTTCGGCCTAAGTATGTTTATCATTGTTAACTATCATCATTTTCCGATAATATCTTTGATCGTTTTGATTTATAATACCTTGGTCATGCCAATTCCAGTATCCCGTAACATAAGAACGTTATTTTCTTTATCAGGAATGATTTGGATATAAAGTTCGTGTCCGTTATCAAGTTTTGAAGAATCAGTAAGTGATTTATATCGAATCTTATCCAAAGCATCTGAAGCGTTAGAAATTAATTCACGAAGGAAAATCCTGCATTATGAGATTAAGAAATAGAAATACCAACAAACCGTTTGCTCTAAATTATACACTTGATTTTAAAATAATATTACTTACTCTTTATTTGAGTAGAAAGTGTTAATAATAATTGACATAAGCTGAGATATCTCAGCTTGAAAGGCAAATTGTTCGGCTTCAGCCATTTCTGCGTAAATATTACAAATGTATAACTATTCAAAATTTACGTCAACTCTCAGTATATGGTCAAGATTTAAGAAACCAAAGGTTTTAACCTCGATTAAATTTATATATATGTTATATTTAAATGACATGTATTGTTTCAATTAGACAAATGTTCAAATGAAATTAAATTTTTATTGAAGTATGAATTATTTTATTGAAATGTGCCACATTAATTCAGTCGTTTAAATTAATTTACTTATAATCTTTTTTGGATTCATTCAATCGGGATTTTTGGTCCCAGGTACATGGGCGTAGCTCAACGCTATAAAAGTGAACGCCAAAATGAAAAAAAGAATACCCAATAATATTGTTGTAATATGGGAAATAATAATAATGTTCTCCGCCTATTTTTATCGCAAGAATCCGGATTTTAAAATAACAAAAAATCTCTATATAAATCACTGTTGTTAAATGACCTTAAAAAGTCTGTAAAATTACTCATTCATAACAATCTCCAAGATTACAGATATTATAATTTAAAATAGTTGTCAAATTATAATTCTCTTGGCGAATACGAAAAAATTATTTTAAAAAAAATGGTTTGAAGAATGTGGAAAGCAAATTAAAGAAATTCTTGGTGATAACGTTGTAAAGGTAAAAAATTTTTTTATTTAAAGTGATAAACAAGTTTT